TATAACCACCGTTTTTGCAGGACAAAATGCTGGGACTAGGGGTATATTAGTGAGGTTACATAAGCTACTTTTGCCGTTTTTGGTTTTATGACACTTGCTGCATAATATGCAACGTGGTGATAATATCATCAAGGAAGGAGTTTTCGGCGTATGGCTACATCAAATAAGTAGTATAAGTATAATAATATACGTAAGTACCAAGGCCGTCAACAACAGCCATCGTTGCCTCCGTTATTGTTTGTTTATTTCTTCTATTCATGCGCAATACAATTCATATCCATTAAACAATTCTAGTTTTGATTGTGAATAAAATTTCATCATTAATTAGCATTGGCAGTTCTTTTGATACTCTCTTAAAAACGCATTTTCTTAACTATCCGAAGATTGGAATACTTTAATACGATCAATGGCATGTTTTCCTATCTATCAGGTTATATAACTTGGGTTTTGGCAGAGAATGGCCTGTCTGATTTACGCTTATTTGGCCACGTGAAGCGCTTTCGGGCTAACGTCATCCGAATTTTCGGAAAATTAAAATTAGTTTGAACGACACATTCGACGGTTTTCTTCAACATATAACTAGCCACCTGCAATATGCAAAATATCTATTAAATCAGGCCAATACGATTCCGTTGGCAAAATATAAAAACCATCCTGTTACAGGTCACGAAAATTGATAAAATAGATTAGTGAACCGCGAACAAGAACATCCTTCTCCCTGTCGGTATCATTTCGCTGTGCAATGCAGATGCTTCCAAAAGGGTTATATTAATTTTAAAAAAATTTAAAGTAGGAATTAACAGATGCATTTGGAAAGGTTTGAAGTTTCCAAAGTGAGTCAAGGAAATTTAATCCTCAGCTTTGAAAGACATTTTAATGCCAAGGCACACATCGATGGTTTGATTGCCTGAACTTTAGACCCATACCTAGGATGTAATAAGTATTTCTATAAATCGGGTGTATCTAGAATAAGTATAGTCAATTAACTTCTAAACAATTCTTTTCTGGCTCAAACGGTTGCACCTTTTTCCATACAATTTTCACTGCGCTTTTTTGTTCCTTACAGGCACTTTTATTTTCATTCAAAAATTCATTCTTGATGATTCAGTTCTCCTTGAAATTTAAATTCATTCTGACAAGAGTACTGCAAAACTAGGCACGGACTCTAATGAATGAATACAGTGTTGATTACAAGAAGGTTGCCGTAATATTTAGGGGAAATGCAGTGGATGAGAATTTTCAGATGTACTACTAAGCTCGGCCTGTCATAGGACCCGGATCAGTAGTCCTCGTGATATGGATGATTACAGTGTGGTGGAAATCAACGAGGACAGGCATCTACGTAGGCTTACTCTGTAGTTTACCATCATTTCTGCAGATCCAGGTCCCGGCAGTCGCGTAATAAATTTTCACGTATCATGCATTTGCTGGGAAATCGAGTAGGGACTAGGGACTATTAGACCCTTTTTTTCTCACGAATACTGTCACCGGCAGCAAAATGACAAGTCAGCGGAAATTTCTTAAGCTGCCAAAGTGCACCACATGCTTTTCCACCCCCTAGTCCCGACAGGTTTGCAGAGGTAGTAATTGACGAAGCCGTGATGTGTTTTTCATAAAGGTGCTGTCAGCGCACGGAGAAAGATTATTGGATTAGCATTTGGTTAGGTATTTGCAACCCACTAGATGGATAACCTAGCTGAGATTACTAGGGTTCTCATAAGCACCAGGTGCCACTCATAATTAGAAAAAGTTGTGAAAAACAAAAAGCCACACCCAATCACGTTTACTGCTAATGACCCTGAGACATCGACAGGAATTCTGGAGGGTCATGGGTCCCCATGAAGGTTGGCGGCATAGTTGGCGACGTATCGTACTCAAAATGTAATGCCAACAGATTACGTGCACAAATGCACGTGCAGTCTAGCCAAGGTAATTTGTAGGCCTGCTGGGAAAAAACTGAAAACTGACCCTTTGGTTTTCACATTGAAGTCAAATTCATTTCCATCGTAGGTTCCATCTGCGAAGCGCAGAAGATCGTCAAGATCCTTGCTCTATTCCAGAAAGTAGAGCGGGAGGAAAACCATTTTAGCTTCCGTTTGCAAGCATGCATGGCAAATGTAAAAGAATATTTCAGGACTTCTGCCTAAAAGCCGATTCCAGTTAGTTTTTATTTGACGGTCGTATGAAGCCGTGCATTACTCTAAGCGTTATCAAATAAGGAGTTTAATATAAATATCCTCTAATAGTAGCGCATATTCCTCCCACTCAGTCTTTACGTAGGATTTCATACTTAAACATATGTTGCATTTCTTGTTTAATTTTTTCCATAAAGATTTCGGCAAATAGTCCTGTTAGCTAACACAAATCAGAAATACTCGCCTTA